GGACAGCTACTGTCCCTGTCTCCAATTCCCCCAAGCACCATCAGATTCTGCTGCCACACTGTGGACATGGGGGTAACTGCACTCAGCAATGAGTACCCAACACCACCTTAGCTCTTGGGTCTCTCTCTCCCTGAAACACAGTGCCTTATTGATTCCAACTGTCCTTAACACACAGCCCAAGGCATCCTAAATCTGATCACATCCTTCCCCTGCTCAAAACTCTTCCATGGAAACCCAGTGGTATACTGAAGCCCCTTGCAAGAGCCAATTGGAAATCCACAAGAATTTTTGCAGGTCAGTTGTTAGTCATTTTTTTGAGACAGAAGCTCAAGCTGTCGCTCTGTGTAGGGTGCTGTAGCTTCACAGCAACCTCCAACTCTTGGGCTTAAGCGATTCTCCTGCGTTAGCCTCCCAAGTACCTGGGACTATAGGCGCCCACCACAATGCCCAGCTATTTTTTTTTTTTTTTGAGACAGAGCCTCAAGCTATCCCCCTGGGTAGATTGCCGTGGCATCATAGCTCACAGCAACCTCCAACTCCTGGGCTCAAGCGAGTCTCCTGCCTCTGCCTCCCAAGTAGCTGGGACCACAGGTTGCAGCCGTCATTGTTGTTTTTGGCGGGCCCGGGCTGTATTCGAACCCGCCACCTTAGATGTATGTGGCTGGCGCCATAGCCACTTGAGCCACAGGCGCTGAGCCCAGCTATTTTGTTGTTGTTGTTGCAGTTTGGACGGTGCCCTACTCACTGAGCCAAGGCACCACCCACTGGCTATTTTTTTTCAAGTTATCATTGTTGCTCAGCAGACCCAGACAGGGTTCGAAACCGCCACCCTAGGTGTATGTGGCCAGCACCCTTGCTGACTGAGCTATAGGCGTCACCGGAATAGTCATTATTAAAAATTAGATTATAGGGCGCCGCCTGTGGTTCAAAGGGGTAGAGTGCTGGCCTCATATGCCGGAGGTGGCGAGTTCAAACCCAGCCCTGGTCAAAAACTGCAAAAAAAAAAAAAAAAATTAGATTATATAAAATTATATTAAAAACCAAGGTAACATTGGAAACTATGCATTTCCTACTTATTTTACATTTCAATACGATCTATGCTCTTTTAATTATATGTATCTCTATGCTGAGAACACTATATTGGTGTACTATATTGCATACCTCTTCACAATTTCACATTCAGGGACATTGTGTTGATAGCTTGAAATTAGCCATGAGATTATTTACACCATGGAAATTGACAAAATATAATTCAGGGATGATTTACTGTTGAGTTTCTAGACCAGTGCCATCCAACAGAAATAAAATGCAAGCCACATTAATTTTAAGTTCTCAAGTAGCCAGATTTAGGAACTTTTTTTTGAGACCGAGTCTCACTATGTCGCCTTGGTAAGGCCTCATAGCTCAGAGCAACCTCTAATTTTCGGGCTTAAGCAATTCTCTTGCCTCAGCCTCCCAAGTAGCTGGGACTACAGGCGCCCACCACAACGCCCGGCTATTTTTTTGTTGTTGCAGATGACATTGTTTAGCAGGCCCAGGCCAGGTTTGAACCTGCCTGCCTCGGTGTATGTGGCCAGTACCCTAACCACGGAGCTACAGGCACCAAGCCACAGTAGCCAGATTTAAAACAGTACCAGGAAACAGATGAAATTAAATAGCATATTTTATTTTATCCAGTATGTCCAAAATAGTATTTCAACATGTAATCAATATAAAGTTATTAATGATATATTTTACATTCTTTTTTCATACCAACTCTTCAAATTCTGGTGTGTATTTTATACTTAAAGCACATTTCAAATCAATCTAGTCACATTTCAAGTGCTTACTAGCCAGTGTCCAGTGGCTATTGTATTGGAGAGCACAGGTCTAGATTTAAGAAAGCAATGGAAAAAATATTAACAATTCCAAGTAGTGCTGAGGAATTTCAATTCGATTAACATTATCTGATAAGTAAACAGTAGGCCATTTATCAGATTTAATGACAATAACCTTATGCGGAAAGGGCAGTGCAGAGGCTGAAGAGTAGCCTCCACACATAAAAGGTTCTCATCTCTGGGACCTGTGAATGTCACCTCATAAGGAAAAAGGGGTTTTGCAAATGTGATCTTTATAAAAAGAAACTTTGGGATTATTTGGGTGGACCCTGAATCCAATCGTGAACGTCCTATTAGAGAGAAGCAGAGATACGGTATACACAGCAGAGACGGCCCATGGGATCATGGGGGCAGAGACCTGAGTTGTTATATGGAATGCTAATAGCCACTAGAAGCTGTTAAGAGGCAAGGACAGAGCCTCTAGAGGGCACGTGGCCCTGCCAACACCTAGATTTCAACCCAGTAATACTGATTTCAAACCTCTGACCTCCAGAACTGAGAAGAATTTGTTGTTTTAAGCCACCAGGTTTGTAGTGACTTGTTAAGGCAGCCATAAGAAAACGAGTACAGACAGATGAGCTTGAACTCCCTTTGTCATGTTGAGGTTGAAGTACAACCACAGACACACTACAAATACAACAATTTTTTTAAAAAACAACAAAAACGTCCTGTTAAGAACCACGTGGCTATATGGAACTTTTTTTTTTGAGCTAAGAGTCTCACTTTGTCACCCTGGGTTGAATGCCTTGGCATCATAGCTCACAGAAACCTCAAACTCTTGGGCTTAAGCGATTCTCTTGCCTCAGCCTCCCAAGCAGCTGGGAATAAAGGCACCCACCATAATGCCCAGCTATTTTTAAGAAATGAGTGTCTTGATCTTGCTTAGGCTGGTCTCAAACTTCTGAGCTCAAGCAGTCCACCCACCTCAGCCTCCCAGAGTGCTAGGATTACAGGCATGAGCCACCACACCTGGCCAGCTATATGGAATTATGAGTATATTTTATTATTTATGATTTCTATGGAACTTCTTTTGTATCAGTACAAATAACTTTATGTGTATGTGTATATGACATCATGTGCCAGGTCTGTCTCTCTCTAGCACTAAGCTTGGTATGGAGGACACTCAAATATTTTGAGTGTGTGAACATGACCTTGGGCCAGTTCCTGACTCCTCTGGGCCTTAAATTCCCCTTCTACACAGCAGGGTTGCAGGATGGGATGGCACACTAAGTGGGTAGGGCTGGTGCCAATTGTTAACAGCACCTACTACGTATAAGACTGGACTAGTGGCTCAGCGCCTATAGCTCAACTGGCTAAGGCGCCAGCCACGTACACCTAAGGTAGCGGGTTCGAATCCCCAGCCCGGACCCGCCAAACAACAATGATGACTGCAACCAAAAAATAGCCGGGCGTTGTGGCGGGCGCCTGTGGTCCTAGCTACTTGGGAGGCGGAGGCGGGAGACTCGCTTGAGCCCAGGAGTTGGAGGTTGCTGTGAGCTGTAATGCCACGGCACTCTGCCCAGGGGGACAGCTTGAGGCTCTGTCTCAAAAAAAAAAAAAAAAAAAGACTGGACTAGTAAAACTCAGCACGTGGCCCGATGCCCCAGGAGACAGCTGGGACCAAGCTGACTCAGGTAGTCAGGTGTGCAGTCTGGGGACTACTGGGATTGTCACAAAGATTGGGTGCCATGGAGCTGTACAGGTATGCAGACTGAAGCCAGTGACACAGCAAGTAACTGTAAGGGCTAGAGCCCCTTCCACCTCTCAGTCCTACAGTGTGAAGGGCCTTTCACCAAGGGGCTGCAAAGAGCCTGGGTCTGACCTTGTAACAGTTAAAAAGCGGGTCCCTCTCAGCCCCCCAGCCCTTCATTTAGCCCCTGCCCCTATCTCATGCCAAGTCAGAGGTCCAGGCATGGAAAAGGGGACACCTACCTCTGCCATGTACAGTCTGGATGACATTCTACAAGTCACTTTCCTTCAGCTCCAATGTTTCCTTTCTAGGGTGTCAGGGTCCACGTTCTACATAACCCAGCAGCTAGCTACCCCTTGCAAGCTACAGGTCTCGCCAAGGCTCTGACCCTTCTTCATACCCTTCAGACTAAGGCCCAGCCAATTACTTGTTTCCTCTGAAGTCTCCCTTCCCTGCTAAATGAGCCATTTGTCTGAGTTTCCACATCAAGAATTTGCCCGAGCAGACTGGCTCTGAACATAGGACAGAGAGGAGACACTACATTGAAGCTCTTAGCTCAGGCCCAGACAGCTAGGTCTGAGATCTAGAAGAACTAAGCCCTCTGGGTCCCCAGCCTCACCCACCTGAAAACATCTGGTTCATGCTTGTAAGGGTACCCCATACGCTACTGTGACTTTTTGAGATAGACTCTCATTCTGTCACCCTGGCTGGAGTACTGGGGTGTCATTTTAGCTCACAGTAACCTCAGTCTCTTGGGCTCAACCAATCCTCTTGCCTCAGCCTCTCAAGTAGCTGGAATTACAGGCACCCGCCACAAGGTCCCCTACTTTTTCTATTTTCAATAGAGACAGGATCTCACTATGTTGCTCAGGCCTATCTTAAACTCCTCAGCTCAAGCAATCCACCTGCCTCAGCCTCCCAGAGTGCTAGGATTATAGGCATTAGCCACCATGCCCGGTCTATTGTGACCATCTTGAAAGCAGGGACCAGAGAGTTTTGCTCACTTCTGGGAACCCAGTAAGGGCTCAGACAGCATATAGTGGGAACTTAAGAATTTGTTTAATGAGCAAAACCACTTGCTACCTTTCATAAAAGCCAGGTTCTCCTTGTCATTTTCCCCTTCACCAGCACCTGACTATGGTCGCATCAGAAGAGGGGCTTCCAGAACTTAACAGGGTGTGGTCCCTGGGCACTTGGACACCACAGTTTATGAAATCCATCCTTCTTGGAGTGGAACAAAGGGCAATGGCAAGTCTACTTTCAGTCATCGGCCTAAGACAGGGCACATAAGAAGCCTGGTATTGACTGGCTGTCTCCTCTCAGGCCCTGGTAGACAACGAGCTCTGCCTCCCCAACCCCTGTCCAAAGTTTAAGTCACAGGATTAAAGAAGCACCAAAGGCAAGCCCTCTCTTATGACAGCATCAGACAACTGTTTCAAAATATATTAGATTTGGTTTTTATTGTAGAGCACACATATCAGGGCAAAGTGCTGCACACACAACTACAAATCATTTTTGGGAAAAAAGCTGTAAAAAAAATAAAACTGCAACTGCTTTAATTATGCAGTCCTGACTTGAGGAATCCACACTGGCAAAGGAGTTCTGGCCCCTGAGAGGGGCTTCCTGATAGTGGCTGCCCCAGATTTCTGTAGCCTCTGAGGCCTCAGGCCCAGGCCTGTGGAAACAAAGCCCCCAGAATGGTGGTAGCCTGATTGCCGGGAGGCCTTGCTCTAGGCAAGCCCTGGTCCTGGCCTAGCTGTGGAGAAGACTTTCCTAATGGACTAGATCAGCAAAACCCTGTTGCTTTCCAGGATCTGAGTGAGTAGAACTGGTAAATTGCCAAAAACTTTACCTTTTTCTCTTTTATTATTTTTTAAAGCCCCTTTCCCCAGCATCCACACCCAAGGTGGAGATGGCACCAACTGGGCCTGCAGGCCTGAGTTCTGGCCTTGGATACATGTTGCAGGCTGACAGAGGGGGCAGGCGCCTTCAGAGAGGGATGGCATGGGGAGGAGGCCCAAGCTGGCCAATGGAGGAAGGAAAGGGAAAGGAAGAAACCAGGAGACAAAAAGAAAAAACTCAAAACAAAAGAAAACAAAAACCCTACCACACACCACAACAATTTTCCATACCCCAAATGCTAGAACACCAGCCCCTGTAGCTAGAAAAAATTCCTAAAACTGACCCAACATGGTAAGTCTAACTGTTCCATACAATCATAAGCATATGCTTAAAAAGAGCCACCCAGCAAAGAGGCGTACTCTTGGCAAGAGAGGTCAGGACCACTGCACCAGCCTCTCAGCAACCCAAGGAATTGTGGGTAGAGCAGGCCAGCAGGCATGGAAGAAGCCCAGGGGGCTTGGCAATAGCTTTGGGCTGGCATGTGCTAGCATTGTTTAACCCCCTGCTCAGCCAACCTGAACAACCCTGTCACAGGAAGGAAAGGGTATTTGCATGAGCTTCCAGAGCACGGAGAGCAGTTGAGAAGTGGAGGACAGCAGGCCCAACACAGGGCTTGCAGCAAAAGCTCTAGGAGACCTCCACCAAGCACAGATGTAAATGGAGAAAAGGGATGGGCGAGAGATTGAACTTTGTTTAGAACACTGCAAAGATTTACATTGAAGGCAAAATAATTTTCTTAACTAAAACATTTTGTTGCTTTTAAATAAACCCTGCCTAACACAACCCCACTTGAAGATGGCTGCCCCCCCCTCACCTCTACTGGCCACTCCAGTGTGAACCTCTGTCCCCTACAGATGCCAATAGCCTTTCCATCCAGGAGGAAAACCAAGAACATAAGAACCCAGGTCCTGGCCAATTCTGTTCAGACTTAACAGCCAATAAATCAAGGAAAAAAAAAAGGATCAAAAAAACAAAAAATAAACAAAATCCTCAAAACAAAACAAAAGGAGGGGCAGCTACATGAGGATTAGCCACAGTTCCCAGGAGGGTGGCAGGCAGGCCTCAGTGCCTCCGCATCTTCACCTTTCGGGCGGGGCTGCCTGCCGCCTCTGAGCAGTCCTCTGAGGACTCATAGGACTTGCGCCAGTAGTTTTCAGAGCTAAAGCTACCCCTTCGCCGGTGTGTGGGTAGTAGCACTGAGCGCCGGTTCTCTTCCTTGTCCATCTCCAAGATCCGTGGCCTGCAGGGAAAGGGAGAGAGTGTTAACTGAGAAACTGGCAGGCCTTGCTAGCTCTGTGCCTGGCCTCAACAGTCCTCATCCTTGGGCTGGGTCATTCCAGCCCACTAGTCTTCAACAAATAATACTGGCAGAAACACTGGCATCAAAGGTTCTTGTCCATCACTCAGTACCAGGGGTTACCCTAGTCTTTGGGACATTTCTCAATTCCCCTGTAGAGTCAACCTGGCGGAATATGGTCCCCCAGGACATTGCCAGGGCTGTTGGATAGGTCTTCCCTACTATAGCCTCAAGACTCATCATGGTCTTGCCATCTACCTCTACTTTCCCAATCTCCCTGCCTTCCCTACCCCCCCCCCGCCCCTATATCTTCTCCCCTACTCACCAACCACACTAGCCCCTGGAACTACCAAGCTCTTTTCTGTCTTGGGGATTTGGTCCATGTACACCACTTCCTATCCAGAATGCTCTTTCTAAATGTCTTCTTTATTCTTCTAGTCTCAACTCAAATCTTACTTCCTCAGAAATCTTACCCAATCTTTCTGAAATGAATACCTGGTTTGCTATTTTCCAAGTCCCAAGATTCCCTCCTAATAGTCTAAGTATAAACCTGCAAGAGGGTTCTGGCTGGGTAGAACGGAACAAGGGAAGTCATGGCAAGGAAATACACATTCCCAGTTATGAGAATCTCTCTGGGGGTATAGGCAGTTGGCCGGGGTTAGTTGGGAATGCTACAAATGCCACCACATCAGAGGAACCAGACATAAGGCTCCAAAAGGCTGGGCAATCTCAGACTATTAACCAGCCTACCCCTCAGGCCTGACCACCCATCTTACGCTGCAACCAGGCCATGGGGCCATTCCGTTGGCCTCTGAGGGTCCTAAACTGAGTACCTGTGGGCAGCATCAGGGTCTGCCTTGCGGTGGGACCGCTTCGGTTTCAGAGCAGGGTCCCTGTTGTTTCCCGACAGGCGATCTGAAGCATAGCTGGGTGGTAACAAGGAGCTGCTCAGGGACTTTGTTTCCAACCGGGGTGCATCCAATCTTGTCCTACAAAGGAAACATGGCATCACCAATGGGCCTCTGGTGAAGCTGTGGGTTCCATCAGACTAATTTTCTCTCAGGTAAGGCCAAACTAGGGGTGGGGGTGGGGTCAGTTGGGCCTGGAAGATAGCAGTCTCTGCTCTGTACCTCAGTCTCCTTGTAGTTCAACTAGAGATTGGCCTAGCTGACTACCAAAGGCTCTCATTTTCTTTTCTTCTTTTTTTTTTTTTTTTGAGACAGAGCCTCAAGCTGTCCCCCTGGGTAGAGTGCTATGGCATCACAACTCACAGCAACCTCCAACTCCTGGGCTCAAGCGAGTCTCCTGCCTCTGCCTCCCAAGTAGCTGGGACTACAGGCACCCGGCACAATGCCCGGCTATTTTTTGGTTGCAGCCATCATTGGTGTTTGGCGGGCCTAGGCTAGATTCGAACCCGCCACCTTAGGTGTGGTGTATGTGGCTGGCGCCTTAGCCTCTTGAGCCACAGGCACCGAGCCAAGGATCTCATTTTCAAGTTCAGGCTTAGAAGTAAGGAATGGCAACACTTCTATTCAGAGACTTCCAATGATAGGCATCTGCTGCCCTAGGGGAAGGATCCCAGGGCTCTCAGCTGAGTGAAGCAGTCTTACCTCAGCTCTCTGGGCCCTCTATTCCACGTGCCAGAGGACTGATGGCCCCAGTAGTGGACAACACAGGAAGGAACCCTGGCCTGCAGAGAGGCTGGAGGGAAACCAGGGATACCTTACTATCTCTTCAGGGACACTGAGGTGGAATGACAGAGCCATGGAGAGCAGCCCAAGCCCACTCCACAATCATGAGGTTGGCTCTGGTCCCGTTGTAACCTGGCAGCTTCTATTTGTTCCAGGATGCTAACCAAGCAGAAACCAGAGGGAATTTGAAGGCAAAGTTTCTACCAGCACTGGGTTCAAGTTTGAAGAAATGGACCACCTAGTAAAGGGAAAGCATACAAGTGCAGATGAAGAAGAGGGGGATGGAGAAGCTTGGCAGAGATAGTTCAGGGAAATGATCCTAGTCCTTTATAAAGCCAGATAGGAAGGAAGCTGGCCTTAGGAAACCTAAGAAACCCGGAGACCTATGATACAAAGGTTGGTTAAAAATCAGAAAAGTGGGAGCAAAGGGCAGGAGAGGGCCTTGTGTTACAGACTGGATGGGGAGTGATGGAGCAGGGCTAGCAGGAGGCCCTGAAGGCACTTTTTCCAAAGTCCGCAGGACACAAAGTAGTAGCTTGGTTCTGAGGAAGTAGGGATTATGGTCAGGGCAGGATTCAAAGAACGTCTCATCACAAGGACACTGAGGGAAAGAAAGCAGGAGAGAAATCCAACAATTGCCTTGAGCTATGCTGCTTAGCATTCTGGGTAACAACTGCATCCAATCCTCATAACTCCCCCTACTCCCCATGACTGCCACCACCACCTTCCACTGGCTGGCTTGCTGTGGACAGACAAAAGAAACTGGGTCAGACAGGCAGTTAAGTCATGTACCCTAGACGAGATGGAGGAAGGTTAAGTGTAGGTGAGACTTTAAGTCTGATAGGTAGGAGCTACTCTGAATCTAGGCAGGGGGTGTCTACCTTCCTTCCAGCTGGGAACCAATGTTCTGATGCCTCAGGCTGAGACCCAAAGTGGAGGGCAGACAGGCAGGCAGGGCAGACGTCCCTGCCCCTTTGCTTTAGCCCCATAATGAGGGAGGCCAGCAGGGTCAACTGCACTGACTGGCCTGCCAGTCTCAGCCTCTACTCTGGGCTGTTCCAGGCTCAGAGAAGCAGTGCCCAGCAGAAGAGGAAGAGCCAAGTTAGTCACTATCCTTCTCAAGCCTTGGTTTCCACATCTAAGCAAAGGGCAGAGAATATGATACACTCTAATTTAGTTCTGAGGGTCTAAGAATTGAAAGCAAGTTGCTTCGTTTGCAGCTAGGTGCCTTTGGGTAAAGGTGGTACTGGGCAACATCCAGAGATGAGGATGTAAAATAGAATAGAATTGCCTAAGCCCCGATGAGCCTCTCTTTACCCAGCCTCACAGCACTGAGTTGAGAGGTCTAGGCAGCAGAGATCAGACGACATGGAACATTAGCCATTAAGGTTGACTTAAAGGACTCCAAGGGCCTCATTGATAAAAGTCCCTCCTCTGGTACCCATAAAGCTACCACCCCACAGATATCAGAGTAAGAAGGCCCCTGGGTCTGCCAAAAACTCTAGTGAAGCACACTGAAGTTGTTCCTTAAGTGAATGACAGATGGCAAAAGAACAGCAGAGTCACTAAGATGAGAGCCTGTGCTATCAGCCTGATCCCCACACTTCTGGGACACATTTTGCCACACACTGAGCCTTGGCATGGGCTCTAGCCCTTTTTTTCCCCCAGCTCTCTCGAGCCACTTACTACTTGGAGTCGCTTCCCTGGGCAGGAAGAGGCAATGGTGGTATACCCTCACCATGGGTTTTTAGTGCTGCTGCAGAGGCTAGGCTAGAGACAGGTGGGACCACCTGAAACTGGGCAGAAAGGCTAGGAGCACGAGTTACCTATGTGCTTCTCTGGCTCACTGAAGGGGAGGGAAGACAAACGTGTTGCTAGTAGGGGCAGGACTCAAGAGAAGGGATGATGAGAGGTGGCTTTACAGGACAGTAACATTTTGTATCCACTTTGGGAATAGTATGGGCTCTGGGGCCCAAATGGGTTGTAACATCTGAGAGAAACTCTTGCCCTCTCCCACTTCCAAAACTCACCAAGCTGCAAGAAGATGCTAGAGCTAGGTCCCAAGCCCACAGCCTACCAGCTGCTTAATTTCAGAACATGCCCTGGCAAAAAGGGACCAACTCCCATCAACCAGGCCAGGCCTCATAAGGTTTAGATGAGAGAGCTAAAAATCTGAAGTCAAGAGGCCTAGTTGCAATAGTGAAGTGTGGACCTGGAACTCTCAGGAGGAACGAAGACCTTCCTTACGTATCAGCATTAGCATCCAGAAGACAAGGCAAGGCACACCAGGTAGGTGAGGTGAAGGTTAGCTGGCAGACCACCACACATGTCAGCACAGAATAGGGACTGTGCCTAGATTAAAGTAAGGTGAGAACAAAGGACCACAGCACCCACATGTGGGAAAAGGAGGGAACTGATTCTATCACAGATAATCCTCCAGAGAAGCTACTTGGGAGGAATATTCCTACTGTGGATAGATGAGCAGAGAGATGCTAAATCCAAGAGAAAGTTGCTGGCCTGAGTCACAAAGCTCCCACTCCAAGGTACACAGCTACTATTCCACAATGGCCTCTAAAGTGCAGGTGAAACCTTCTTTACAGAAACAAAGAAGAGCACTGTGTAGGTGGCAGCATCACTGTTTCCGGGAGACAGGACAACCAGCCTGCACTCACAGTGGCCTTGGAGGGATGGTAGTCCCCAGCCCACTATCAACTACTCTAACCCCTGGTTTTACTCTCACAAAGTACCTTGTGCTAAGAGCCTGGCTCTCCACTGCAACGAGACAGAAGGGACCAGTGTGGTAGGCCTATTACCCTTGTCTATTTAGTAACCTGGGCCCCTAGGTCCAGGTCTAAGCTCCAGTACCTTTGCATACCAGTTTCCCACAAAGCTCTGACTGATATCCTGCTGTCTCTCCTATCACAGTACCCATTCCCCTCATGGGACTCCTCCACCCAATCTTCTACCAACCTCTTTGCCAACATCAGAACATCAGGCTTCTCTCTAATTCCTACTCTGCTCTCTCCACAGAGCAGTTCTGAGATAGGTATAGCAGCCTCCTATAGTTAGAAGAGCCTGAAAGCACATTAGGGGTACCACCTAAAGAGGAGGCACCCAAGCACATGGTTATGGGCTCCTAGCAGACCTTCCCCATGCACAGGTCTTCAAAACAGCCAGCCCCTAAGAGGAGCCTTTCTAAATCGTTTAACCTGGTCACCATGATGTACATACCCCTGAGCCCCAGGATTCAAGGCTACATGGATGGCAGCCAGAACACAGGGCCAGCACCACAGATAAAGAGATCCCTGCTCCCACCTGGTAAGGTATCAATGTCATCCTCTAAGACACCAAGTTTGCCTTCCTCCACCCAGGCCACAAAACTCCATACCTGAGTTTCTCTTCTCTTTCACTCCATGTGCCTCTGCTCACACTATACCTCCACTGAGTACAGCCATCCTCTTCCCCTACCATCAAGATCAGAGGTATGGTATGGTGAAGAAGGGCAGGAAACTCACCCAATGTTCACAAGTTTAACCACAACAGCTTCAATTTACACATGAGAACACAGGGCTCAGGCAAGACTAAATTTGGAGGGGAAGCAACAGACCAGGGCAGAAGCCCCATGGTAATCTCATTGTCCCCATAATTCTGGGGCAGGTTGTAGACACATCAGAATGGTCAAGCTGCCAAATGGGCAGGAATACACATACCGAGCCAGGGAACAAACGTGAACTAAACCAGGCCACAGGAAACAAGAATCATGGAGACAAGAACAACACCAAACACTGCTCAGAGCCAAAGAAACCAAGAACTGGCCACCTCTTCTGGCTCCTCCAGCTGGCTGCAGATGGAAGAAACCCAGAGGGTACCCCCCTCCGTTTCCTTGGCTGTTCTTCCACATCCTCAACTTGGTTTTCAGGGAGGGGCTTCTCCTGACCCCTAGGACTCTGGCTTGAATGACCAAATAAACCATCCTAGCTCAATCTCCTACCAAAAGTTTCACACACAAACCCTTCACCAGCTGCTTATGTGTCTCCACGGCTCCCCAGTGATCTCCAGATTTCTCCACAGTGTGAAATCTTTTCTGTCTCAGATCATATCAAGCGTTCCACCAATCTCTATTTGGTGTTCTAGCATTACAGACTACCTCAGAGTTCCCACACACTAAGTCTCTGTAAAGAGTATCTCTTCTGAATCAACTATCTTCGTCCTTGAGCTCCCTTCTATGCCTGGCCAAGGCCCGGCCCACGCATCCTTGACAACCTTTAGGTAGCACTTCTCTGGAAAGCCTTCTGCGA